CTGTGAAAAGTATGAGTGTAGACTGAGGACACAATAATTAAGGTTAGTATTAATTAAGCTCTTACTGTGTCTTGGGTACTCTTTTATGGGCTTTACATTTTATTAGCTCTTTGAATCTTTAAAATAATCCCTTAATGTAGATACAATTATTATTCCCAGTTTGCTGATGAGGAAACTGAAGAACAGAGAAGTTAAATAACTTGCCCTAAATAATGCAACTTGTAAGTGCCAGAGCAGAACTTAGTTCCAGGTAATCTGCTTCTTACCCAGCTTTATTAACTACTACTTTGTACTGACTTTCTTAAACATGAGAAAACTAGGTGTGAAGTTTATTTATTTTAAAACTTTTTATTTAAATGTTTATATACCGTGAAGAAAAAAACTCAAACCAACAGTTTGTTTGAAATTTTTTCTAACTAGTTTTTTGATACTATCTGGATAGCTTATCTGTACTTTAGTGAGCTTAAAATTTAATCTGTCAATTGTATTTTATAAGAACAAAAGTGATTTTTATATTCTCTCTGACATATAAAAAAGTACCAACATAATTCCGATTATAAATTGGGCAAATATTGCCATAAACAATGGTATAAATTTAGTGATTTTTACAATATAACAAAAATATTTTCAACAGTGGTTTCATAGATTAATTTTTTGTGATTGTAGCACTGGTTGTTCTTCATACTTGTAAACAAACCTGGCTGCATCCCCTAGCTATTGGTTCCTTTAATTAAACTTGTAATTAAGAAATAATAATAATAATAATAACAACAAATGGTCCATGCTATGATCTGAATGTTTGTGTTCCTCCAAGTTCATGTGTTGAAATCTTAACCACGAAGTAATCGAATCAGGAGGTGGTGTCTTTGGATGGGAATTAGGTCATGATGATAGAGCCCTCATCAGTGGGATTAGGTCATGAGAGTAGTGTCCTTATAAATGCAGCCCAAGAGAGCACCTTCATCCCTTTCACCATGTGAGGACATAGTGAGAAGTCTCCATCTATGAATGAGAAAGTGGGCCCTTATCAGACACAGAATCTTCCAGAACCTTGTTTTTGGATTTTTCAGCCTCCAGACCTGTGAGACATAAATTTCTGTTGTGGATAAAGTACTCAGTTTATGGTATTTTGTTATAGCATCCTGAAAAGTCTAAGGCACTGCATATACTTTTAAACTAAAGCAAACCCATTAGCAGAAAATTAATTCAAATTTACTGATTAGATTAAAATGACTAGTTAATTGCTCTCTTATGAAAAACCTTAATTTACTTTCTGACTTTAAAGTCCTACAAAACTTCTCCATCTCTTAATATTTTAAACAAAATTTGGACTAATGTTTTTTGTAAAATATCTCTCAAGTTGTAAAGGAAATATAAATTTTCATTGTCAAAACAATGCAAATAAGAAATGACATTTTGAGATATAGCCTTCTAATTTTTAATTTTATAAACACAAAGGATTATAGATATATTGATAGATGAACATATTTAGATAGACACAGACATAGATACACTGGAGGTATATATTTTTGACTATCATTATTTTTCACTTAAAGAAGTTTTATATTATTGAATACTTTTTACATTCTGTGAATACATCTTAATTAAACTATTACTCTATTGCTATACATTTAGGTCATACTTGGGATTTATTTTTATAACCAAAAAGTGGTAAAATCACTATGCATAAATCTTTGTTTACATTTCTGATAATTAGGGATGAATTTTTAAAATAAATAGACATATGATCAAAGACTTTAAGCTTTATTAATATGTATTTTTCAATTACTTTTTTTTTTTTTGAGATGCAGTCTTGCACTGTTGTCCAGGCTAGAGTTCAGTGGCATGATCTCAGCTCACTGCAAGCTCCGCCTCCCGGATTCACGCCATTCTCATGCCTCAGCCTCCCGAGTATCTGGTACTACAGGCGCTCGCCACCACGCCTGGCTAATTTTTTGCTTAGTTTTTTTTTTTTTTTTTTTTTTTTTTTTTTTTTTTTTGTATTTTTAGTAGAGACGGGATTTCACCGTGTTAGCCAGGATGGATGGTCTCAATCTCCTGACCTTGCGATCCTCCCGCCTCAGCCTCAAAGTGCTGGGATTACAGGCGTGAGCCACCACGCCCTGCCTTAAATTACTTTTCAAAGAATTATACTAAATTGCTGCCTCACCAGGAGGTTATCAGAATATCTTTTTCATATTCTTGTCCACAGAGAGAAAGGGGATAATAATTTATTTGTTAATTTGGAGAGTAAAAATTTCACTATGCTTATACTTTAATTTGCATTTACTTATTTGTGAGTTTAATTTTTTGCATAGTTATTGACTATTTGCCTCTTTAACTTGTATCTCTTGTTCACATCATTTATAGTATGTTTTCATATTGATTGATGTGTGCTGTTTATTGCCATTAACACTTTTTCATTATTTCTGCAGCTACTATTTTTATGATGTTATTTTAATTCTGTTTATATTTTGAGTTTCCTTTAATCTTCTTACACCAAATGTTTTGACTATCTTGAAATTAATGAAATTAAGCACCTGAGTTATGTCAGCTAAATTGTGCCAATAATATGCCAAATAGCTTTTAAACATTGGCAAATAACTGGATAGCCTACTCAATTTTTCATTTTTATTATTAGTAGTATCAGTTTCTAAGCCTCCACTTAACATTTACAATGTAAGTGTTCAGAGAGTAAACATTGATTTAAAGTTAAAGAAATTGAGCAAACCTGCTCTTTACTAATTTTTGTCTTGAAAACATTCTATCGAATACAGAGATAAAAATAGGAGCTTCTCTTCAGTTTTCTGCTCTAATTATTAATTTTATTTAAATAACAGTCTGAGCAACAAAGAGGCTATCAGTTGCAAAATGCAATATAGGCAAATTTTGTGGCTCTGATTTATTTGCTCTTCATTTAAGGATATGATCCACTTTCAAAGAGGCTCACACTTGCCAGAACATTTGCAAATCTGTAATCTTCAACATACAGAAACAATTTTCAAGTATAAAAATATAGCTGTTTTTGAATTATTAAGGGCCTTAAGTTTGGTTGTATAAGCTATAGAAATTACATTATAAACTGGACAATAATTTAATTAGCCTGTTACGGAGACAATTTAACGAAATAAATGGCAGCATTTGATTGAGAGCCTTAACATTCAGCATTTTATAATATCTTTAATTGAACTTCCTTTAGGATGAGCATAAAGAGATACTTGGAAACAGAGATTTTTATTTCTATCATGATGAAGAAAAGAGGCTTTTATTATTTTAGGATCTAGTTGCACAAAATTGTCCACCAATAATTACTTGATCTGAACTGGGATGATCATATCATTTATTCTCAAGCTGAAGCATTTTTGATAGTACATGCAGATGGCTGAATAATTAAAATAATTGAATTTTTGAAATAGTTATAATTAGATTTATTATGCTGGTGGGCCTATACCTTAGTTCTTATACAATTATTTATTATTTTAGTATTAGTCATATTATATGCAGCTCTTTGCCATCAAATCACTGAGTTCATTTTCATTCTATAATGCTACATAATATAAATTAGTTCAACCATTGTGGAAAACAGTGTGGCAATTCCTCAAGGATCTAGAACTAGAAATACCATTTGACCCAGCAATCCCATTACTGGGTATATACCCAAGGGATTATAAATCATTCTACTATAAAGACACATGCACACATATGTTTATTGCAGCACTGTTCACAATAGCAAAGACGTGGAAGCAACCCAAATGCCCATCACTAATAGACTACATAAAGAAAATGTGGCACATATACACCATGGAATACTATGAGGCCATAAAAAAGGATGAGTTCATATCTTTTGCAGGGACATGGATGAAGCTGGAAACCATCATTCTCAGCAAACTAACATAAGAACAGAAAATCAAACACCTCATGTTCTCACTCATAAGTGAGAGTTGAGCAATGAGAACACATGGACACAGGGAGGGAAATATCACACACTGGGGCCTGTTGGTGGGTGGGGAGCTAGGGGAGGGATAACATTAGGAGAAATATCTAATGTAAATGATGGGTCGATGGGTGCAGCAAACCACTATGGCATGTGTATACCTGTGTAACAAACCTGAATGTTCTGCACATGTACCCCAGAACTTAAAGTATAATAATAATAACAAAACAATAGAGCCAAAATAAAATGTAATACAAGTTTAAAAAGAAATTCACTCAAAAATAGGGGCCTCATCAAAATTCTTCCTAAAAGTTAATATATTTCAATATGCTCTTAGAGAATTTCAAAATTACATCCTCCATACCATTTGCACACTTATCATTTAATCAATTCAATGTATCCCTTGCTTTTTAAGAGCTATCAATATCTTCCTGTATGAAAGCTTTATTTTCAATAAATGCAGTTCGCCAAAAGCTTTCATAGTTGAAATGTGGGTGCTCAAAATTGTAAACTTCAGGAGTTGAAATTTGGATGCTCCAGGATTTTCTTTAAAGATTTCTAATTTTGAAAAACATACAATCAGAAATGTGAGGACTCATTTACAAAATATTTAATACTTTGCTAGGATAACTAAGTAAATTTGCAAAGCGGTTATTCAAAGGTTAATTATTTCTCAAATCTAATTGATCACGGGCAACAAAAAGACCAAGTATGTATTGTCATACTGAAGTATTTCCTAAAATTATTTCAAATCAGCTTAATCATTAAAGTTTATAATTCAGTTGCAAATACATACACACACAAATATAAAAATATATATATACAAGTGTAAAAATATTCATAAATTGTGACTACTACCATTTTATTTCTCTTGGTATAAAACGTGAAGTTTTGGGACTCTCTTTTCTTCAAACTCACTTCCTCATACACCACCGCATTTCAAATATTTCTGTGCCACATATTTCTTAAGTTAGTTAAGAAAATTATTTTACACATGATGGTATATTATATCAAAATTTGTATTTATAACAACAAAAATAAATAATTTTGTCTTCAATTCACCTACCCTAATCTGTAATTTCCCACATTTCCACTAAGCAGCTTCCATCACTGAAGAGTACAGAGAGTTGACTACGTCGAATCTTTCTTTTGCAAACTCACTTTGTTTGATCAGTGAGGCCCATATGAGTTTTCCTTGAGAGGGAAGTATTGGTTACGTTAAGTCTGAAACAGGAAGAGATAAGTTATTACTGCTGTTCTTCTTTAACATTAACTCCCATTTAAGGTGAGAACTGCATTCCCTGGATTTGTCTCATGCTACTTAGACATGATTATGACAAAGATTGGGAGTATGAAATAAAGGTTGTAAAATGCCCATCTGGCTTATTTTCATTAATAATAACAATCGTCATAACATTGATGATAATACTTTGTTAAAAGGTAAAGCAATCAAGGACAAAATGCTAAACTGGACTGGCCATCAGGACAATAGTTACAAAAGTGCTTCATTCCAGGAAACTGTAATATATGGTCATTCTATTTAATAAGTAAATTGGTCTCTTTTGGCAAACCCTCTGTCCTTTTATTTTTGGTTAAATATTTGTATTCATTGTATTTCTCTTATTCACATGGAACTTAATCATCATCAATAAAATTATATTTTACAACTTTTAAGACATTCAAGGCTATTCAAAATTGTTGTTATTACTAGTAGTGGCAGCAGCAGTAGCAATATTTTGAAATATTAATCATTTACAAGGTTGTTAGAAATACATATTTTAAAAGATCAGAGAACTCATTTATTTGCTGTAATACAGAGCTTAGTTTCGTAGTGTAGATAATTTTACAGGTTTATTATTCCTTGACCAAATATAGTATAATCTAAGTAAATATTACTCAACTTCCCTCAATATTTATATTCGTTGTTCTTAGATATTGTTCTTAGTTACATGCTATACATTGCACAACAGCAGAATTAAGACTTTTACCTGATCTTTTTAAAGTGGCAGTATTTTTTTTGGCTAGCTGCTGATTTTCTGTTTCAAAAGATATTTTAACTCAAACATCATATTGTCCTTATCATTCATTTAGACTCTTTTACACAAATCCCATGTGGCTGTTTGAAGGGAAACATTGGGATGAGCTGTTGATAAGGCTTATGGATACTTCCAAATACTTTCTCACTGAAATATTAATTTACCATATCCTAATAAAACCATAATATGCTATAAAATATGAGATTTGGGCCACATGACTTAATACTGTGTGTGCTAACAATAGAAATAGTATAATTTTAACACAGAGATTTATAAATACATAGCATTTATTTACTTATAGCACAACAATATTCTTGTAATTATCGTTAGAACCGAATGAACATCATCTCTAAGTAGGAAAAATACCCAATAGCACGTGCAGCTGTTTGTCCAGTATGCAGTTGGTGAACCAGGCGAAAATAACACAATGATAGTAAAAGTGTTGGAAAGTTTGAGGGTGTATATCTTAGTACAGGACATTTCAGATGTGAAAGCATAAGCTTACATACCTGAAGTGTGTTTTCCTTAGCTAATCTGCCTGACTGGGCAGGTACCTGCTTTGTCCTCACACCTCCGTGAGTCACATTCCCAAGGCTGAGCAACTGATGGCACTAAATCGCCTGTTATTATTCAGCAGCATTGTTCTTCTTCTGAGATAATCTCCGCCAATGGTCTAGTTGGGAATCGTAGTAGAGATCTCACCTAGATTATTGCAACAGCTTCCTAAATAGGCTCATTATTTTCAGTCTCATTTCTAATAGCTCCCAGATTGATTTACCTAAAGCACAAATCTTGCCGTATTTTCTGTCTCGTTAAAACTCCTTAGGAGAAACTAGAACCCTCGTACATCGTTGATGGGATTGTAAAATCATGCAGCTGCTTTGCACAATAGCTTGACAATTTTTTAAGCAGGTAAGCATAAATTTACCATGTGACCCAAGAATTCTATCCCTAAATATCTACCCAAGAGAAATGAAAACATATCTGTGTAAAGACTTGCATATGAATCCTTGTGGCAGCATTAGTCATATTAACCAAAAATTAGAAACAATCCAAATGCCCATCAATCGGTGAAAAGATAAGCCAGTGATGTTATATTCATACCATGGAATACTATTTTACAATACAAACAAATATGCTATGGATACATACTGCAGCATGGGTAAATCTAAAAAACCTGATGCCTGATGAAACAAACCAGATGCAAATGACTACATAGTCTATGATTCCATTTATATGAAATGTCCAGAAATGACAGATCTATAGACATAGAAAACAGATGAGCATTTGCCTGGTTCTTGGAGGTAGGAGTCAGTAGTGACTATAAATGGGTATGAGGGATATTTTGGAATGATGGAAATATTCTAAAACCTGTATTGTGTCAATGATTGTATAATTCTGTAGATTTAATAATAATCATTGAATTGTTCACCTAAGTTAATCTTAAGATGTAAATTAAACCTCAATAAAGCATATATAGTTTGCCTTGTCCCCACCCAAATATCATCTTGAATTTTAGCTCCTATAATTCCCATGTATTGTGGGAGGGACCAGGTGGGAGATAATTGAATCATGGGGGCAGTTTCCCCCATACTGTTCTCATGGTAGTGAAAAAGTCTCATGAAATCTGATGGTTTTATAAGGGGTTTCTCCTTTTGCTTGACTCTCATGCTGTCTTGCTTGCCACCATGTAAGACATGCCTTTCACCTTCCACCATAATTGTGAGCACCACCCCCCCAGCCACGTGGAACTATGAGTCCATTCAACCTCTTTTTCTTTATAAATTACTCAGTCTTGGGTATGTCTTTATCAGTAGTGTGAAAACAGACTAATACAAAAGTTATTTAAGCGCAAGCAAAAATCAACAACAGCAAGCTCTTCAGAAGCTCCTGACCATAGGATCCAGCCTGGCTCCCTACATACTGTTCCTGGAGTGCTCCTCACCCTTGCCTTTTGCTTACTGATCCACATATCTCACTGGCCCCAGCATCACTAAGTAAACTCCTATAGTATTGCTGGTAGTTCCTTGAGTGTTCTAACCTCCTTTTCAACTCTATACCTTTGCTACTTCCCCTATACAAGAAATGCCACTCCCCAATGTCTTCCTGCCTGAACTCCTTTACCAAGCATACTTCTTATTCACCCTATAAGCCTCAGCTCATGCCATATCTCCAAAGGAATTTATCTTGGTGTTTGTGTTGTCCCTACCACCTGACCCCAGAATGAAGCTGATAGGGTTTGGCTGTGTCCCCACACAAATCTCATCTTGAATTCCCAGATGTTGTGGGAATGACCCGGTAGTAGGTAATTGAATCATGGGGCCAGGGCTTTCTCGTTCCGTTCTTATGATAGTGAGTAAGTCTCATGAGATCTGATGGCTTTATACGGCAGAGTTTCCCTGCACAAGCTCTTTTTGGCTGACCCATTCCATGTAATATTGTGACTTGCTCCTTCTTGCCTTTCACCTTCTGACATGATTATGAGGCCTCCCCAGCCATGTGGAACTGTAAGCCCAATACCTCTTTCTTTTGTAAATTGCTGAGTCTCTGGTATGTCTTTATCAGCAGTGTGAAAATGAACTAATACAGTGAATTGGTATGGGAAGTGGGGCACTGCTGAAAAGATACCCCAAAATGTGGAAGTGACTTCGGAACTGGGTAACAGGAAGAGATTGGATGGAACAGTTTAGAGGGCTCAGAAGACAGGAAAATGTGGGAAAGTTTGAAACTTTCTAGAGACTTCTTGAATGACTTTGACCAAAATGCTATAATGATATGGAAAATAAAGTCCAGGCTGAGTTGGCCTCAGATGGAAATAAGGAACTTGTTGGGAACTGGAGCAAAGGTGATTCTTGTTATGTTTTAGCAAAGAGACTGGCAGCATTTTGTCCCTGCCCTAGAGATTTGTGGAACTTTGAACTTGTTAGAGATGATTTAGGATATCTGGCAGAAAAAATTTTTAAGCAGCAAAGCATTCAAGAGGTGACTTGGGTGTTGTTAAAGGCATTCAGTTTTACAAGGGAAGCAGAGCATAGAAGTTTGGAGAATTTGCAGCCTGACAGTGCCATAGGAAAGAAGATCCCATTTTCTGAAGAGAAATCCAAGCCAGCTGCAGAAATTTGTGTAACAAGCAACCAAATGTTAATCCTGAAGACAATGGGGAAAATGTCTCCAGGGCATGTCAGAGGTCTTCACACCAGCCCCTCCCATCATAGGCCAGGAGGTCTAGGAGGAAAAATGGTTTAGTGGGTCGAGTCTGGGGTCTCCATGCTGTGTGCGGCCTAGGGACTTGGTGTCTTGCATCCCAGCTGCTCCGGTCATGGCTGAAATGTGTCAACATAGAGCCCAGGCCATGGCTGCAGAGGGTGCAAGCTTCAAGCCTTGGCAGCTTTCACCTGATGTTGAGCCTGCTGGTGCACAGAAGTTAAGAATTGGGGTTTGGGAACCTCTGCCTAGATTTCAGAGGCTGTATGGAAATGCCTGGATGTTCAGGCAAAAGTTTGCTGCAGGGGCGGGACTCTCATGCAGAACCTCCACTAGGACAGTACAGAAGGGAAATGTGGGGTTGAAGCCCCCACACAGAATCCCTACTGGGGCACCACCTAGTGGAGCTATGAGAAGAGGGCCACCATCCTCCAGACCCCAGAGTGGGAGATCCACTGACAGCTTGCACTGTGCACCTGCAAAAGCCACAGACTCTCAATGCCAGCCCATGAAAGCAGCCAGTGGGGAGGAGAGGCTGTATCCTGCACAGCCTGAAGGGCGGAGCTGCCCAAGACCAGGGGAACCCACCTCTTGCATCAGCATGACCTGGATTTGAGACATGGAGTCAAAGGAGATCATTTTGGGGCTTTAAGATTTGACTGTTCTGCTGGATTTCAGATTTGCATGGGGCCTGTAGCCACTTTGTTTTGGCCAATTTCTCCCAATTGGAATGGCTGTATTTACCCAATGCTTGTACCACCACTGTATCTAGGAAGTAACTAACCTGCTTTTGATTTTACGGGCTCATAGGTGGAAGGAACTTGCCTTGTCTCGAATAAGACTTTGGACTGTGGACATTTGAGTTAATACTGAAATGCGTTAAGACTTATGGGGACCATTGGGAAGGAATGATTGGTTTTGAAATGTGAGGATATAAGATTTTGGGAGGGGCCAGGGGTGGAATGATATGGTTTGGCTCTGTTCCCACCCAAATCTCATCTCGAATTCCCACATGTTGTGGGAGGAACCTAGTG